GACTAGAAAAGCGCTATACAAATACAGGCCATTTACCATTTTGATAAAGTCTACTCTCCACTGCTGTGTAATCAAATTATTGTAAATGTGTGTAATTATTTGGAAAAAGAAAAGTTTTGAGTCTTTTCTGTGAGAAACCAGCTGACCTGAACAACATAGCTTGGTTTATGCCACATTACTTAAGAGTAGCATGTACGGTACTTAAGAGTTCTTCAACATCACATCACAACATCGCAAAACTATCGTCACACAATTTAGTATGACATTGAATTCTTTTAATATTTGACTAGTGATTCCATACAAGCAGTTTTCATGTTCCAGTGAGCATCTATAAGTCCTGAAAAAGGCCACACCCTGAACAAGCTGCCATCCTATTGCAGTGCTAAGACACAGAAATATACAACCATTCACACTCATGTTTTCCAGTGAGAAGTGAAAATAAAGTTTTGGCTCTTTCCTTATTTATTTAGGTAAAAGATTCAAAATAACTGGCAGGATTTATTATTATGACTTTAATCTCAGAATTCAGATTTTTCTTCTCAGAATTCTGGAAAAGAAAAAAAAGACGTGCCCACTTTTTCTTCTGGTGGCCCTAATCGTCTTCCGTACATTTGAGAGGAGACCTGTTGTGCTGAAATTATGTCGACCAGATCAGGTGGACATCAGTAACCACTGTTACATGTCAGGCCAATTCCAATGATTCACAGATTTGTGACATCTTCCTGTCTGTGAGAGCTCACAGCTGTCCTACTGTCATCATAAAAGTATTGGAGTTCTCCGGCACTTTATGCATGTTTTCTGTTGAATTACCCACATTCCAGTTTAGATTCACTTATAGAATATCCCAGGCTCTCTTCGACTTCAGCTCCTCATCTTTTGAAGCTAGGAGGTTCACATGAGCTCTCTGTATATTTCTCATGACTCCCTTGAAAAGCATCTTTTTGCCCGAACTTTTCCTGGTGCAGACTCGTCTCTGTCCATTCTCAAAGATGGCAATCTCCTCCATGATGTCGAGACTTGTTCAGAGACATTTTTTGATGACAGAACAGAGAGCATCTCAGTCCTTGAATAACTGAGTTTTTAGTCAGATGATTGGTGGAAAAGAACTCAAAAGTATGAAGGAACAAATCATGTGTTTTGTCCTTGTGTTTATTCCAGTTTTCTGGTCCCTGCCTGCTTTTCCCACAGACAAGACTATATACAGACCAAAGACAGTATAAAAGATGGATCATGTTTTACAATCCAAACAAATGTTGAATCAGATTGTGAACCTGAACGCTCTCCAGCTAACAACTTGTGATTAGCATACTGGGGATAATTCAATTCAGTTCAATTAAATTTTATTTATTTAGCACCAAATCACAACAACAGTTGCCTCAGTGTGCTTTACATTGTAAGATAAAGATCCTACAATATTACAAAGAAAACAGAGAAAACCAGAATAATCTCCATGATGTCCCATCAGCAAGCGCTTTGGAGACAAATCTCCCTTTCAGAAATTAATTATTTAATCAGTATTACCTGAAACCCGCAACTAGGGCTATAAAATCACTAGCAGTGTTTACAGGGGTCACAGTTTCAGAGAGCTGAGAGTCGTTTTCAGTCCGTCTGTGAGCCACACTGGTTTCAAAACACCTCAATGGCATCTGCCACTGAACCTGAATGACAAAGACAGCTACTTTCTGTACCATAAAACTTCTTACTGTTCCAGGGTATCACTCTTGAGGGCCGCCCTTCAGTAGAGTCTGTGAAATTAGTTCTTGTCATTGTTGACTTGTGTAGTGTTGTACTTAGACTGCCCTCAGAGGTCAAACACACTGCAGCTTAAGAAAAACTGGCAAATAGAAAAATGGTGCAAAGACAAACAGAACACAATGGATGTTCAATAAAACAAGAGAAATAGCAATAAAACGTAATAGCTGCGGAAGTGAAAGAAACCAAAACATGCTGAAGATCGCACTGAAACAAGGACTTTTACTAGAAAGTCTGATGTGATGTGTAGAAGGTTCTTTACTAGAGAGGTTAACTTCTTAATATACAAACATGTTGTTGTTTGTGCTTTGTTTTTTCTTATTAGTGGGGTCCACAAGAGACAGCACTGCATATGCAGATTTTTAATGAGTGGAAAAACACTGCAAACAGTTATATCATTGATTTTGTTGCAGGTTTGGCTTGAAAAGTTTTACTTTTCTTGTTTAGTGGCTTTTATTGTTTATTCCTGGCCAGAGGTCACAGTTGGCATAGACTATAACCCTGAAAAAGCTTTTGAAGCTTTTCCTTTGGTGTTTATAAGACGCTGACTCCAAGCAGCAGATTTTCACTGCAGTAAATCTTTCAGTAACTGCTGTTTCTGACCACTTGGGGGCAGTGGAAAGAAGTTTTGGATCCACAGTCTCCTTTTTATTTCTAGAGCAAACATAGCACTTAGTTACCAAAGATAATTTAATGAATAAAGCAGATAGTATATTATGGCAGTAATGACAGTGAGATCACGTGTTCATACTTTGGGGTGAGTTACTTCTCTAATGTTACTTGTCTGGCTCGTTTCCAAAAGCCACATTAAAGCACTTCCAGGGTGGAGGAGTGTGATCGAACAACAACAAAAAACTCAGCTGGCATTCAGAAACTCCTGTAGCTGCCTATAGGTCGAATTAATTCTGCTTAGAAAAGCAGAATTGCTTTAACAAATCAGAAAGAATGATAATTTAACAAAACAAATGCGCTCCCGACCTATCTACACATCTGATCATAAACCAGGTTTTTTTCATTGCATTTTCTGTTTTTGGGCCACAAAAAAATCTTGATCCGGGTCTTTGTGCCAACAAGTACACCCCCGAGATTTCATAAGGAGCTATTTTCACACTGGAGACATTTGAGTTAATAAAAAATAAATAAATAAGCACTGCCGAAGAGTAATCATTATGTTGTACATTCCTGCTTAAAATACTAGAAATCAGGTTTCCAGTTGGAGTACATTCCGGTCTATACCAGTCCTCTGCATGTGTGTGCTTTATGATGACATCATCCTATTTTATTAGAGACATTCCAGAGGGACTGCATTGTTATGCTTTGCGATCAAGGCTTTTTTCCTCATTAATCTGCAGTTAGCAGCACTTGGCTTCAGACTATCAAGTTCCTGTTCTCTGCTTCCACCTTCAGCTGACTGTCGGTTCAGAGTGCAGCTTGCTTACTGCCATCCTCCTCGTGGCTCTTCCTGGCACTTCCATTCTCCCAGGAGGCTGCAGGTGCAGGCGGCTGTTTGATGCCTTTCCCAACATGTGGCTGTCCTCGAAGAAGCCTCTCTCCCCGCTGCCCTTTGCCTTGGACACCTTGGACCAGCTTGCGCTCATCTGCTGATAATCCTAGTGTTGACGTGTTTGAATTGCACTGATCCTCTTCTAGGCATTGTGCTCTAGGCAGCCTTAGCCGCCTCCAACCTGTCTCCTCCTGGAAGTTGCCAGGGATGTGGCACGCCGCCTCTCTGCCACATGCAGCCTGAGCTTTAATTTGAGGGAAAAATGAGGGAGGGTTAGGTTTGCTGCACAGAGGAGCTGGGGTACCTCGACACACCACATCCTCCAGATGCTTGTGTCCATTCTGCTCTATGGGGTTGGCACGCGTCAGCTGTGGCCTTGCTGATTGATTTTGCTGCTGGGCTTTGACTGGTGCAATGGAAGCAGAAGGAAATGCCTCTGCTTTTACCAGTCTTTGCCTCATGCATGATTTTGCCTTCCTCGTATGGGTCCCATCCAGCTTACAAGAGGCTGGGTTGGGTTCTTGGTGGATAAACTTAAGCTTTTCCTTCTGAGCCTCCTTCACCTTCTCTGGCAGCTCCAGCGGGGCAAGTTTCAGGGGTCGTCTGAGGGCTTGAATCTCAGTCTGGTTTTCTACGTCAGGCTTCGGAGACTTGAGAGCTAACAAGTCCAGCTGTGGCAAGCCTTCCTCGGTAGGCAAGGAGGTCACAAAGTGACCCGCTGCCTCCCTTTCATGGCCCGGTGTCTTGGAGTTGCGGCCCTTTTTAGCAGCTGGTCTCAAGTTTTGACCATTCCGATGCAACGTGGTATTTTTAGCTTGAATAGTCAACATTTCTTCTTGCTGCAAAACACCATGAACAAAAGACACGTTATTGACTCAGATGAATCATACAATAAAAAATAATGTGACTTCTACCAGTTAGAATTTTGAAAAACAACTTTTTAAGAAGACGTTTGATGGCAGTTGCGTTACTCTAAGGATGATAAATCGTTTCCGCAGTGACCTGTTAGAGTTAGGCTAACCCATACCCTTCTTTTAACTGAATTTTCAGCTGTTTTCTAAGAAGAAAATCACAAAATATGCTTGTTTGGTATGTGGCTGAAACACGTTCTAACTCCAACCGGGTCTCTGATGTCTCGGTGGATGTTAGGATGCTCATTAATGTTAATATGGGCAGTAACTGGGAGAGCCAGGTATCTCTGTAGCTCTTAAAAGCTCATTAGGATGGCTGTTTCGAGGAACTGTTAGGCTCAAGCCATTCTGGAAAATAACTGAACACCTGGATTCGGATCTATTTATTAACGACTGATTAATATTTACAACTGCAAACTTGAACATCTATAATAAACTGACGAACTATTTGCTTACTTACAGCATTGGCTGTTTTAAATTTAGAAAGTCATCAATACAGATCCCTACTTTGCAGTGAGCGTTGGCTGTGGTCATAAATACACTTAATGGTGCTGTCACTGTGATCAGCATGGAAATGTAATGAAATGTTAACACATTTGTTTTTCAAATGCTGCACAGTGTCCTTTAGAACAGTGGCCACAAGCCTGAAGGCTGGGAGAACAACAAAAGGCCGTGAGATGAATATTCAGATGGAAAATCAGGAAGTTTGTGATACACGGAATGATTCCGTCTTTAGATCTATCCAGTTTTTTATATCCAGTTTTACTGTGTACAGCGAATCTTATTAAAATATTTTTTTAGCACATGAAGGGAAAATTGCTCTTTATATGACAGAAGAACTGTTGATGACTTTACTTTGATCATATCTGCACATATAACTAAATTAAATAAATGCAACAGACGAATCTGTCTCTCAACACATCCAGTAAGATAAATATTTTCTGTTTTCACTCTTAACTTCAAAAGTTCCTCATTCTAAGGCTGTTTAAAAGTTTATTACACTCACATCACACGCTTATGCTGCTGGGTTATTACTGCACACCAGAAATAAATAAGCTAGTACAGTTCACACGTCTTAGCTTGGGATTTTTTTATTTTATTTATTAATGAATTAAAGAAACATGCAACTGACATATAATTTTTCCATGTAAAATGTTCAATTTAATGAAATCCGATCAAATGAAACTTAGTTGATTGGTCTACTTTCAGTTTTTGCCGATCACATAATTTGAATAAATAAACTTTTGGTTTTTTGGAAGTTTTTTTTCGTTGTTTCATCTGGACAGTTACTGTAAAGCCATTGCTTATTATTTATGCATTATTAGAAGGTGATCTAAGACATAACTGTAAAACATGACTACATCTGCACATGCACGTTGACTTTCTCATAGAAAACAAGTCACTGATGATGAGAATCAGTGTAAGGATACTCACAGGTTTAGCAAGCATCTCTTGCTTGAACTTTTGTTGAATCATATCTCGCAGAGAGGAGCGTTCTTGTTGTCCCTGCTTCGTTGGAACGTGCCACCCGGGTGAAGGCAGTGCCACTATAGTTGCAATGGATTTTAGCAGCCTTAATGTCATTATACAGATTAGGGTCACAATAAGGCACAGTGATCTCTGCTGATCTCCAGCTTAGCAGCCAGTGTCCACACTCACTTTGAGTTCTTCTTGTTTGTTTTCATTCCCCCCAGCAGGATTTTACGCTAATAAAAAATGAGTAGCACCTTTCTGCTCAAATTATGACTGAAAAGTAGCAGTTATTTTCATTTTTCACTGACCACCAGATGGTGCCAGAGACAACCTTTGAAGAGTACTGTGACCTCACTGTTGCATACATAACAGGGCCAGCTGTGAGCTGCAAGAGACCTGCAGAAATTTGATTCTAACTTATCAAATATTAATATAATCATAAAACAAACCATGTTTTCCTCCTAAATAACAGTAAGTTTCCATTTGCACACATTATAAAAGAGCTGCTTTGCATTTTAAGATTCCAACACTTAACACATTACTATCTGGAAAATCTCTGAATACTCACAATATTATGCCGCATACATACAGCTGGAGCAAACAGGGAGTTCTGTGACAATTCGTAACCGATTGAGCTAAACATCACACAGCCTCGCGTTACATGAAGATAAAGGTGACACTGACGCAGGCTAAATTCACAGAACCTCTCTGGAATGTAAAAATGTCTGTCCAAGTTTCCTAAAAACTGAGCACCTGAATGGTGATTCTGCTTGAATTATTAATTTCATTTTGTTTTCATCTCATATGCACTGTCACAAACTGTTTGGGGTCACTAAGAAATGGTCTTGCTTTTAATGTTTTCATGTTTTTACATGCAGATGCATTCAGTCTCCTTTAATCATTGATCATTTTTAATGGAATATTGGCACAAATGTACAGCAGCCATGGAGTTTTTGGTTGCTGAAAATCCGGTGGAACATTGTGTTACCTAATGCAAGTTTATCAGGGTAAAAGGCTGATCGATCATTAGAAAAACCCTTTTACAATTATGTTAGCACAGCTGAGAACTGTTCTGCTGATTAAAGAAGTCGTCAGGCTAGCTGAATGTCCGGAGCGTGAGCAATTACAAAAACAGAGTCATCTTCATTTGTTTAAAAGAAACAAAGGATATAACTCAGCGGACATGACCTAAAACATAAAAATTGTATGATATTACTTTATACTAGTCCCTTCTTAGAAGCTAAATGCCTTTAACCAATGCAGAAAGAGAAGTAGGAGACAGAACTAAGCATGAATCCCTTACAGGTTCTCAACTGGCAACATCATTAACATATGGCAACGTATCCATGAAGCCACAGTCTCATTGTCAACAGTGAAAAGGGACGTATTGCATTGACAACTAGAGTGCTAAAAGTCTGCAAGGAGATCCTCTGAAGAAGGCAAACTTTTAAATGCTTGTTTCTAACCTCGTCAGTTTCTTAGGACATTTATCTGATGTGATCATAGCTCCAATTCACTTTGCAACTCACCCAATTAATAGATTTTCATAAAAAAATTTCCCCAGACTTTTGACCTTACCCCTATGTCGTTATAAGAAACTAATAATGCTGCGGCGCAAACAGCTTTATATTCATATAAAGCTATTTGGTGATATATATATCAGACTGAACGTATGACAGATCATCTGGTTTGAAGAGTCACACATTTACTTACTAATGTGAGACGGTTCCTTTTGGTGATACTATCACACAACACATTGTGGGATTAAAAATAAGGTGGGCAAAGAACAGATGTTTTTGTTAACTGAATTCAGCTGGCTGTGGTGTGGATATGTGGCCAAAGCTGAAATTCCTCTGATGTTCACTTCAGGCTGCCTCCACTTCACTCCAGAGAGTCACTGAAATGGACCGAGCAACCTTTATTTTTGTAGCCCTTCTTAATGAAATTATCAGGAAAAGCATCCTTTGTAAAAATTCTCCTAAATCCAACATGTGGAGCGACCCACTGTGGCAATCCCTTGTAGACTGTCCAACAAGTTTTAGTTTCAGTTTTGCTGAGTGAAAGTCTGGTATTGTGTTAATCTGTAACTCATCTCTAATAAGCAGTTTGTGTCTGTGTAACAAACGCTCTACAGTTTATGGATATAGCTAGCTAATCAAGCCTGCTAGCTGTCTCCCAATTTAACATACTAATCCAGCCCCTTGTCCCATTATTTGTCCCATTTACTCCAATAAAGCAACATGTGGGGAGGTCAAAATGCTAACGTTGAGGCTTCAAAATTCTGAATTAAAATGAGTGGGTGTTGTCATGTGTTTAATTCTATCGCGTAAATGTATGTGGTTTAAAACCCAGTGTAATAATTTAAATAAAGCCCGCCCACAAAAAAATATCAATTTAACTTCACTGATTACAAAAAACAAAAGGAAATGTATAAGAAAATGAAATTTACTGCATGATTTGTAACCTTTGCATTACCTTAAGAAAGGGGCGCTGAAGGTGCTGTGTAGACATGTCTGCTATATTATCAATCTTCACTGGAATTACACTTTAATCCCATTTCTCTTCACGTCACACGTAATTCTTCTCTTTTTCAGTCTAAATATCTTGAGACAATCAAGACAAGACAATGATGTGCTGTGTGCTGCCTGCAGGAATATTTGCAGATCGTAATCACCCTCCTTTTGCAGCTTGGTTTCAATTGTAGCTCTATTGCTCCGACATCAGCCTCATTCACTGTATTTAGAAGCAGACTTTTCCTAAATGGATGAGACTTGTGTGAGATTAGTTGAACCATCAAATGTACAGACAGACTCAATCATCATTTTTTTTTAAAAATCTCCTGTTCTCCATTGTCTTGTTCTCTTGCATCCCTCCCCTAAAAACGAAATGTCAGCACCTGCTTATTGCATCATATTATTGGTGTGGTGGAGTTGGTACCACTGCAGAACAACTTGGCTCTGCTTACATGATTATTTGAGATGCAAAATTACAGGCTTACCGCCAAGAGAAGGCCTCAACGCCCCTCTGCCACTGTTCTTATTGTGTCGCCCTCTGTGTTGCCTGACGTTCAGGGCTGACAGTATAATTACTACGGTGTGGGAAGAGGATAAAAAGGGATGTTTGTTCATTCTCCCACCTACTAAACATCCAGCTGCACCACATGAGCCACTCACAGAGAAGAAGGTGGCTACTACCAGAAATCCTTCATAACATAAAATTGAATGCTTACAAGCTGTACCATATTACTGTGTCATGTGCAGAGGACTAAACTTACTAAAAAGTTAAGTCCCAGGCATCTCTGGCTCTTAAATAGTTTTCATCGTACTTATCTGACAGACAGTTCAGAATTTATATTTAAACAAATGTGACTTCTCCTTTGTGGAGTCCCTCAAGGCTCAGTCCTTGGACACCATTCTGTTTCCTATATATATGTTGTCTTTGGGTGATATACTTTACAGTTTTAAAGGAATTTCCTACCATTTCCTACCATCTCAACAGCTTCTCCTACCTCAGCTCATGTTTTTATGCTATCACTAATTGGAAGTGTTTAAATTTTCTCGAACTCAACTCTGATAAAACTGAGGTTTTTGTTCTCTATAAAGAATCTTGGTGTTATTTTTGACTGCTGTCGGTATTTTGAAACTGGAAATTTGAGTGCGCACTTCAATTTTCTCTCGTCTTGACAAGACACATACTTGTCTTTTGTATTTCTCAGTCCTCTCTTGGTTGTTAACTGGTCCAGGATGCAGCATCTAGTTTGCCAACAGAAACTAGCCAGTAATCACAAATGTTTCTGTTATATTATCCTGGTTTGTTTCGGACCAACCAAGTGCTTGTTAGAAACAGGGGTGTTTTAGATTTAGTTATGTTATTTTGTGCTTAGTTAGGATTGGTGTTTGTTTTTGTTTCCCCCTATTGTGTGTAAATGGTTTGGCCAAACCGCTACAAAGGTGACCCTCCTGTGTCTTTGTGTTTAGGTTAGGTTGCCAGTTAAGTTGTGTCTACTTTGTTTGTTTAAGCTTCTGGAAGTTACTTTTTTATTAGAGTTGTATTTAGTTGACCTCTTTTATGGGTCTACTAATTATATTTTGAACTTTGTCTTTCTGAACTTATTGTGGGGGTTAAAAATTTTTTAAAAGCCCATTTCTGAAGACATGTTTCCTGTGTCCTCTATGCTTTTGCTGCTTGGTCCCTCACATGTGTCTAACCTAAAGCAAAACCATACCACCAAACATGAATGACTGAAGAATGGAAATCACCATCATCTTTTCATTGCAGTGTCCTTTTTTGCTTTCTTGTCATAGGAACTGGAAACAATGTCAAATAGCCAGTTAGGCTCTATGCAAAGCTGACCTCGGAACACCTCTAAATCTCAATAAAAAAGCACATAACCTTAAATATTCTTGCTAAGTATCTTTGTTTCTACTCATTTGTTTTCTAAAATGCACAAATTTGGAAGGCTAGTTTTTCCCCATGGTTTTAGTTTTTATAATAAATTAAGCTATTATTCTGCTTTAAGCAGTCCTGGAAGTGATATCAATAATCTCATCAGGAAGAAACTGAATGAGCATATTTCTCAATAGATTAATATAATCCCTTTAACATGGACACTTATGGAAATAAAGTAAAACTTAAATATTTTAAGCACGGGCATGGTGATTTGGTTTGCATACAATTATCATTTATTTTCTCCTGCAGCTGAGATTTGCTCTGATCCTTGTCTGACCACCCAAGTACTTAAGACCTCTCTCTTCATAATTTTAATTTTTAACTTTTTTAACCAAATACTTTGGGGGTTTTAGTTGCTTCCGGCTTAGAACCTTCTCTAAACTTTCTCTTAAAAGATAAATCAACAACATGTTATAAATTTTGAGAAAAACTGATCACAAATGAGTTTGATAAACTTGCCTGCAGCTGTTTAATGAATATGTAACAATGAAACTCCCCGGACTGGATTTTGTTCTCGAAATGAAAAACTCTTCTTGGATTTTGGTAAAATGACTTCAAAGTTGGAGATGTTAAGCACTTACAAGAAGACAGAGGCTTTCAGAAGGAGGCTCA